GATAGAGGCAGTTGGCCAGTTTGGCCCTAGGATGAAACCCCCAACCCCATATGAGCTTTCAAAGCCTTTTTTAAAAAAGGCAGTGAGTGCCACGAAGGAAGCTGTAGAACTTAAGAAGGATGCATGGGCTCAGTATGGGGTTTCTATTATGACTGATGCTTGGAGTGATAGGAAGAGAATAAGTCAGATGAATTTGCTTGTGAATTGTCCTGTAGGGACTGTTTTTTTGAGGTCTATTGATGCCTTTGATCATATCCATGATGGCCATTACATATTTCAAGTGATAGAGAAGAGAATCAAGGAGGTTGGGGAGAATCTTGTTGTACAGGTTGTCACATACAATGCTGCTCCTAATGTTGCTGCATCTAATTTGTTGCGCATAGCTTATCCTAGAATCGTTTGGACACCATGTGCAGCAAATTGTATAGACCTCATGCTTAAGGCTCTTGGTGGTTTAATTGAGATATCAGGTGCAATGAAGAAGGCCAAGTTAGTTACAAATTTCCATTTATAGCCACCATCTCACCCTCAGCATGATGCGTACCTTTACAAAGAAGAAAAAGATTGTGAGGTCTGGGTTCACGAGATTTGTGACCTGGTACTTATGTCTAGATAGCATACATTCGAGAAGAGTGCAGTTGAGGCAAATGTTTATATCGAATGAGTGGAGAGCATGCAAATAGTGTAAGGATCAAAGTTGGGAAGGTGAGAGATATTATCCTTTCTAAGGCTTTTTGGTGAGGGGTGAAGGGCGCTATTAAGGTATTTTTTCCTCTTGTCAAAGTCCTTCACATGGTTGATAGTGACAAGCCTTCTATGGGCTACATACATGATGCTATGGAAAAATACAAAAGAGAGATAGCCCAAAATTTCAATGATGAAAAAACCCGCTACAAGCCTGTTTGGGAGATTATTGATGAGAAGTGGGATACGCAACTACATCGGCCCCGAACTTTGTTTCATTTTGGCAAGGATATACAAATAAATAACATAATTATGAATGGATTTAATGAGTGTGTAGAGGTGCTAGTCCCTGATCTTGAAATGCAGGATATTATATGCGCTGATGAGCTGATAAATTACAAGTCCTCTTTAAAGTCTTTTGGGACTCCAATGGTGATGAGGCAAGTGACCAAAATTGGGCCAGGTATTAATAATATTCTTAAGTTCATCTTTATCAAGTTCAAGTAATCAAGTAATTCTATTATTTATTTATGATTTTTTTTTCTGTCTTTGCAGCCCATTGGTGGAGCCAACAAGGGTGTAGTTCTCCAAGTTTTCAAAAGTTGGCCATGCGGATCTTAAACCTAACCACTTCTTTATCCGGTTGTGAGCGCAATTGGAGTACTTTTGAAGGGGTAAGGCCGGAAGGGTAATTTGTATAATTTTATAAATAATACATGAGCCACAAATATTAGATTTTAATTAGTTTCATTTGATTTTGTTAGATTCATGCAAAGAATAGGAACATGCTTGAATCAAAGAGGCTCAATGACCTAGTCTATGTCAAGTACAATCGATTCTTGAAGGACAGGTTTGCTAAGAGAGATAAGAGAGACCCCATCAGATCAAAAAATATGGACCATGCTATAGAGTGGTTAGTTGATGATGATGAGCTCGAGGGGCATGAAGGATTGACATGGGACATGGTCATGGATGCTTCAAGGACATCAGCTGACCCTCCTAGGGCCACGAGATCTTCTGCACAGAGAACAAGGATGGAGGAAGAGGAGGAAGAAGAGGCTGATTCAGAAGTGACGGAAGACAGGGACGACCAATATGTCAAGGAGAGCGAGGACTCCGTCGACTTCGATGAATATGATGCCAATGCAGCTGACCCAAGATTTTCTGATGATGAATGAATGATTGATTGATGAATGTTGATTGTTGAATAATTATTAAACTTTGAAATTTGAACTTTGATTGAAGTATTGTGTATTGATTATTGAACTATTGAAGATTCTTTTGAGTCTTCAAGTATTACTTTCATAGTTTCATAATTCAATTTTGTTTTTTTCCTCATGGTGGTGTAGTGCAGTACTGGTGTTATACTATTTGATAACTTGGTTTGATAATTTGGTTGGTTGGAAAATTTTAAGTTTTAATTGGATATAGAATATGAACCGACTTATGGATTATGGTTATGCTTATGGAGTGTGGGCTAAATGCTAAATAATATGTAGTATAATTTGAATTATGTACTGCAATACATATAACTGATACTGACATAACTGTAGAATGCCAGAATCCTTATTTGGATTCAACTGGGCCTCCTAGGCTTCGGGCGCCTGCCTAGGTGCTTGGCGGCCTGGATCCCCCAAGCCACCCAGGACCCGCCTAACACTTTTTGAAACTATGAGTCAACCCTATCCAAATGTGCCTTTATACCAAATGTTTCTTTTCTAGTGATGACCACGGTAAGAGCTCGGCTCGAACAACTCATGCGAAAATTCTTGTGGGGCGTGAAGAGGATAAGCATAAATATCATCTCATTTCCTGGGACAAAATCTGTCTCCCTTCCTCTCGAGGTGGTCTTGGCATTCGTCAACTTAAATTCGTTAATCTAGCCTTGCTCGAAAAGTGGTGGTAGCGGTTTTCAACTCAAAATAACCACCTATGGAAGATGGTACTAATATCGCCTCGACCCTCTCTCTTGGTTGCCTGATTGCAGAGCCAATGGGAGGTCCCCACGAATTTGGAAGTCTATCCTCTCAATTCTCAATCTCTTCAAAAGCCACACCAAGCTTCACCTCAGAAGGGGCTCTCGAGTAAGCTTCTGGCAAGACCTGTGGTTGGGCCAAACCACCCTCAAGGACCCATCACTTTTCCTTTTAGTTGTTGATCTCCAAACTACAGTCGAGGGCCAATTTCCCGTGGTAGGGTTGGCTGGAATATGGAGTCCAAACTTCAGAAGACCCCCATCTGACGAAGAATTCCAAGAGTTCCTTGACCTCTCCTTCCTTCTTCGTTCTCTTATCTTCCCTGTCATGGAGAGGAGAGCATCATCTGGTGCCCTGCCCCCTTGGGATCCCGCTCTGTCTCCTCATTCTATAAAAATCTTCTTGATCCCTCTACCTTAACCCATGCTCCCCCTTCTCTTGTAGCGAAGGCTTGGAACTCGATGGCGCCTCCCAAAATTAAGTTCTTTAACTGGCTGGCCTTGGCTGAGAGAGTACTCACAGTAGACCAACATCAACGAAGGGGAATGCCAATACTGAACCTCTGCGTTATCTGTGAGTCTGCCAAAGAGACCAATGCCCATTTGTTCATCCATGTCCCATTGCTTTCCAACCGTGGGGATCCCGTGTCCAGTTGTTTCAGTGGCAATGGGTTACTCCCAACTCAATACCTCAACTATATTCCTCACTATCTCGCTTTCCATGGCCCGATTCTGGTATCTTACTTTGGAAAGCGGCAGTTGCTGGCCATCTTTGGACCATATGGATTGAACGCAATCAATGCATTTGTCAAGGATAGAGTTCATCTCCATCAGTCTTATTCGATAAGATCAAGTCCTCTGTGATTTTTTTTGCTTCCAATCACAAGAGCTTCGAAGGCTTCCCTCTCTCGGCGTTCCACTTGGACTGGGTGACCATGCTTAACCTCAACGGGCATTGTATCCCTCGTGCTTCTCTATGGCGTCCATCGGAATTTGATTGGATCAAACTGAACTTCAATGGTTGCTCCGTAGGCAACCCCGGCCCCCCTGGTATAGGTGGTCTATTGAGGAATCACGCAGGCTCGTTCTCCACACAGATAGACCATTCCGATTCTTAAACTGCTGAAGCCCTCGCTCTTCTAGAAGGCCTAAGACAATTCGATCCCTCTTGGGGCTCCAATCTGCTGGTCAAAGGCGATTCAAGTAATGTCATCACCTGGGCCTCGGGCTCGTCCCCTTGTCCCTGGACTCTGACTCACTTCTGCAGGGACATCACATTTGCATGGAGTCATATTTGGCGAGAAAGCAATTCCCTAGCTGACAGTCTCGCCAAGACTGGTGCCACAAATGTCAGTGACTTAGATTCTTTTTTGCAAACTCAGTCCTCCATTGCGAATCTCTCCTCTATGTTTTTTACCTTTTTTTTAAAGTCCATGTATAGAGCTCCCTCGAGGGGGGTTTCCATTTTTGTCATTATATAGTATCCACATTTTGGAGACTCATCTTTGTACTATCCTTCTCCTTTAATACAACAGTTACCTTCTTCATAAAAGTGGCAAACCAGTATGTGTATATGAGGGACTTTTCCATTTGTCGAAACTATGATACACTTTTCTTTTTCCAAGTGGTTTTCAATGAAAAAGATGATATTTGGTACCTCTTCGATTCATCGTTCTCCAATTTCAATTTGGGATATCATTGATAAGCCTTTAAGATGATACTAATTGACTTAAAATAGGCAAGGGCAGATTGGATCACTTGGACAGAGCCCCATTTCCTTCAAAGTCCTCCGAGGGTGAGCCATGGATAGGGATGGAGTGTTCTACTGGTAGTGCATGGTTCAATAGAATGCCAGGGTGGCTAAATCGCCTCAGCTGAGATTAGACATGTTGTAGATCAGATAGTTCCGTAGATATCATATTTTCGAAACTGGTGTTTAAAAAATGATGACTTTTTCATGTTTTGTTTTGCAAATGCAGCAAGGCCTTATTTTAGATGAAACAAGCTCTTGTTTGCGAACATCATGTAGTATGTTTGCTCAACTAAGCAGTCAAGGAAAAAAATAGAATTTAGCATGTTTATTCAACATGGCCACAGCCTGTAAACTTTACATAATTAGTTTTTATTCATATTTAGAAGAGAGAAATTGCATTGTATTTCCTGGTCCTGCTTTTATAATGCAAAAGAAGATATATCAGACTTGATTGACTCAAAAATATGTTCCGTTTTCTTATGTTGTTGATTTCTCTTGGATTTCCTCTGGCAGCTCTTGTCATGAAGCTGTATGCTGACTATTTTAGGCAGAAGTTATGCCTTACTGCATGTTTTACCATGTCTTTAGGAGGGAGCTTCATGAAGAACTGGGTCTGGCCTTACCGGAGGATGCATTTGAGCTGCTTTTTGTTTTTCTTCAAGAATGGTTAGTCTGATAGCTTTTCGTTTGTATTGCATTGTGGCTCTTGTTCTTCTGTAATTATGGTAATTCTTTAATGCAAACTGCATAGGTGACGTTCACCTATGATTTTGTTGATGTAACTACTACGGTTTGTGAGTATAACTGTATAACTCCCTTCTGTTCCTCATTAGGGTGAATGGCCCTCCTGTCAGTTCTTAGTTGCACGCCTGTCAGTTCTTGATATGCTTGATATCCAAAGGTGTTTTTTGTTTTTCTGTAATGTGTGATTGTGTGTTCTTCAAGTAGGAGTTTTTTCCTGCTATACTGGATATCCAAAGGTGTTCTTTTTTTTTGTGTAATGTGTAATTGTATGTTCTTCTATTGTTTAAGCACAGTCTGAGTCACATATTGTTAGATGGTACACTACCACTTAGATTGTATTGCTTTTAATTGGTCTGAATTGTTGTTGCACATGATTCCAATCCTGATAAAGGGTTTAGCCAATAAACTCTGTATCTCCTACAATACGTGGGAATTGTTACAGATACTTGTTCTCTTCCTAAACCATTTAACAACATTAAGTAATCTCATTGAATAATCTAAGGGAACAAAAGTACTAGTGGAGTGAATCCTATCTTTTGGAAAAACTACCGAGGCTCCACCATAGTATACTTGCAACATGTAGTGGCTCCACGTAGCACTAAGGTCTTGTATATATTCTTTGTGACTTTAATATTTAAACATCCAATACATTTTTATTCCTTTCTTCATGCAGATAATATAATGCATTATGAAGTACTTTCTAGTAAGTTGACTTAATTTTGTTTCATTGATTTTGGGTTATAAATGAAATACAGCCAATGATGTTAATTAGGTGTTAGGAGATCTATGTACATTGCATGAAAGTTCTCAATCATAAATAAACTTCATATTGTTTTTTAAGATGTACTTTCAGAGTGATTCTTATTTTTGTTCTTGACCCTTTTCTTTGTTCTCGAAATTGAAATAGTTTCTGCTAAATTGGTATCTTATGGGTTTCATTCAAAAAAAAAATTGGTATCTTATGGATATAGGCAAGATGTAATTTCTTGTCCTTTACATAGCGCTTTTCTTTTTTTGAAACTGTTAACTGTGTCGTTTACTTAACGTCTCTTGTGGGCATTTGTTTTACTGAAAAATATTGTAGTCTTGTCTTTTGTTGAATTATTCCATGTTATTGCATTTTCTTTATAAATAATTCCTTTTTGAATGGCTACTGAAAACTATTAAAAATTATGTACCAAAGTAAAGAAGCCGTACATTATTTCAGTCTGAAAATAACTACCCCTTGTCTAAGAGGTAAGCGATCACTATAAACCTTCTCTATCTCACTGTCGCGTACACCCCTACCCGTTGAAACCATCCCATTGGTTCAGGAATATGCACTTGGAGCTCACTTCAGATAGGAATTTACAGATTTTCAGAAATATGCAACAACCAGCGACTCATCTTTTATGCTGAATTTCTCTTCTCTTTCTTGCAAGAACTCTGTTCTCTCTTTAAAATTTCATAAGTAAAACTAGGGACAACAAGAAGGAAAACCATAACAGAAAATTCTACTTCGTTTATTTCTGAATTGGCAACAAAAAATACATCAACTTCACCTCATGGAAGTTGCAATATGCGATGGAAGCATCTTTCTCATGTTGGAGGTTGAAATGATTCATATGCCAGCTTACAGCGCTATCAGTCTCTTTAGGATTTGACATGCTTCCATCTTCCTCGAAAGGTTGAAGATAAATGTATAAGCATAATGAAGGACAACCTTAAAGGTAATCTGGGTGGATATGTTGAATCAACCATTATTCTTGGAAGTGGAATCAACCATAATTCTTGTAAGAACACATTAACTCTCCTACAAGCCCTAACTCCTTGTATGCTGTACCTCCTTCATAGGATTATTCCTGTCTTTCCTACATCACCATAATAGCCTTTATTCCTTAGTAAATGACATTTGTATGGTCATGTGTCGTAATGGTGACCAAATGTGTGTAGATAGATGTCATCATCTATGTTACAAGGACAGTAGGACACAGATATGAGAGTCTATGTCTGACTCGAATTTGAAGAATCCAACTCGTGTACCTATATTCTGTCAATTCTAGTACTACACAACAGTATAAATCCGTGTAATGTATACACATCTTATACATATATAATACTAGCTTGTGAATTTTTTATGATAAAATTAACTTCAAAATTTCAAATGTGCGTCCATATCAAAGTTATGTGCGTCCACACGTTTCTTACAGAACAAACATGTTTTGCAATGTCTTGATATGGCGCTCGTGTCTTTTTCGTCCAATTTGTGGCTTGAGATTCTATCTACTCTACATCTGCATGAAAATGAGGTTGAATAGTATAGTTAAATGTTTTCTTGGGTTTGAATTTCTTAATTTAAGTAGATTGGGCTGAAGAGTTGCCTAATTTTGGATCAAAACTTCTACTCAAGCGTAAAGAGTCTCTCTTTCTCTTCCTCTCACAATTCTTGTCTATCCTCTTTTTTGTAGTAAGACAAAGAAGTCTAGAGGAAGAAATTTTTTTGAATTTTGGGTGTCCTTAAGGACATTGGAGAGAGAGAGAGAGAGAGAGAGAGAGAGAGAGGAGGAGAGAGAGAAGAAGA